TTGCGAGTGAACATGACAGATGTGTGTGGCACAGTGCGTGCAAATCGTAAGCATATGCCCAGGTTTGACGCTGGCACTCGTAGAGGTGAGGTGCAGGCATTTGCTGCCAATGACATCATGGCATTTTGGTGGCATGACAAACGAGATGTCACACTGTTGTCATCAGTTCACCCTAATGAAATGGCAGACACTGGCAGGCAGCATACAGAAAGCAATGAACCCATTCTAAAACCTACAGCTGTGATTGATTACACCCTCAATATGCACTCAGTGGACAAATGTGACATGCAGATTGGGTTTGCTGATTGTGTTCGCAAGAATTATAAGTAGTACATAAAACTCTTTCTCCATCTTCTGGAGATTTCCATGCTCAATGCTTATAATATGTATAAGATGATGACCAGAAACAAACCATCATATGGCAGATTCTGTTATTCATCAGACAAATAGTGTTCAAGTACCAAGGAACAACACCTGCAATAGACCACCCACTAAATTATCAACAACTACCTTCTCGTCTGAAGCATGGTGATCACTTCCTAGTAAAACTGCCTGCTACTGCTTTCAAGAAAAAGGCTCAGAAGAGGTGTTACGTCTGTGCACATACAAAAAAATGCCCACAACAATGCAGGGACACTTGTTTTATGTGTGAGGAGTGTAAAACACCACTGTGCATGACATCATGTTTCAAAGACTTCCACAGGCTGCAGAACTTTTAGAAACATGTCCTGTGACTGTATATGTTATTATTATTATTATTATTATTATTATTATTATTATTATTATTATTATTATTATTATTATTATTATTTTTATTATCACACTGGCCAAAGAGGTATGGGGTAGGTTTAAAAATGTAGTGTTAGAGTGTTCAGCAGAAGTTTGTGGTTACAGGAAAGTGGGTGCGGGAGGGAAGAGGAGCGATTGGTGGAATGATGATGTGAAGAGAGTAGTAAGGGAGAAAAAGTTAGCATATGAGAAGTTTTTACAAAGTAGAAGTGATGCAAGGAGGGAAGAGTATATGGAGAAAAAGAGAGAGGTTAAGAGAGTGGTGAAGCAATGTAAAAAGAGAGCAAATGAGAGAGTGGGTGAGATGTTATCAACAAATTTTGTTGAAAATAAGAAAAAGTTTTGGAGTGAGATTAACAAGTTAAGAAAGCCTAGAGAACAAATGGATTTGTCAGTTAAAAATAGGAGAGGAGAGTTATTAAATGGAGAGTTAGAGGTATTGGGAAGATGGAGGGAATATTTTGAGGAATTGTTAAATGTTGATGAAGATAGGGAATCTGTGATTTTGTGTATAGGGCAAGGAGGAACAACATCTTGTAGGAGTGAGGAAGAGCCAGTTGTGAGTGTGGGGGAAGTTCGTGAGGCAGTAGGTAAAATGAAAGGGGGTAAGGCAGCCGGGATTGATGGGATAAAGATAGAAATGTTAAAAGCAGGTGGGGATATAGTTTTATAGTGGTTGGTGCAATTATTTAATAAATGTATGGAAGAGGGTAAGGTACCTAGGGATTGGCAGAGAGCATGCATAGTTCCTTTGTATAAAGGCAAAGGGGATAAAAGAGAGTGCAAAAATTATAGGGGGATAAGTCTGTTGAGTATACCTGGCAAAGTGTATGGTAGTTATTATTGAAAGAATTAAGAGTAAGACGGAGAATAGGATAGCAGATGAACAAGGAGGCTTTAGGAAAGGTAGAGGGTGTGTGGACCAGGTGTTTACAGTGAAACATATAAGTGAGCAGTATTTAGATAAGGCTAAAGAGGTCTTTGTGGCATTTATGGATTTGGAAAAGGCGTATGACAGGGTGGATAGGGGGGCAATGTGGCAGATGTTGCAGGTGTATGGTGTAGGAGGTAGGTTACTGAAAGCAGTGAAGAGTTTTTACGAGGATAGTGAGGCTCAAGTTAGAGTATGTAGGAAAGTGGGAAATTATTTCCCAGTAAAAGTAGGCCTTAGACAAGGATGTGTGATGTCACCGTGGTTGTTTAATATATTTATAGATGGGGTTGTAAGAGAAGTAAATGCGAGGGTCTTGGCAAGAGGCGTGGAGTTAAAAGATAAAGAATCACACATAAAGTGGGAGTTGTCACAGTTGCTCTTTGCTGATGACACTGTGCTCTTGGGAGATTCTGAAGAGAAGTTGCAGAGATTGGTGGATGAATTTGGTAGGGTGTGCAAAAGAAGAAAATTGAAAGTGAATACTGGAAAGAGTAAGGGTATGAGGATAACAAAAAGATTAGGTGATGAAAGATTGGATATCAGATTGGAGGGAGAGAGTATGGAGGAGGTGAATGTATTCAGATATTTGGGAGTGGACATGTCAGCGGATGGGTCTATGAAAGATGAGGTGAATCATAGAATTGATGAGGGGAAAAGGGTGAGTGGTGCACTTAGGAGCCTGTGGAGACAAAGAAAGTTCGTTATCTGTCAGCTGTCCATTCCCAGTTTTCAGAGGTCCTACCTTTTCCCTCACCTTCGTCCTATACACTTGAAGGAATCCTTTTGTAAGTAAATTTTCTGCTTCACCTAGACATAATGTACTGTAATATACTGTTTGGGGTATTAACTAGGTCCAAGGGCAAGGGCACAATGCAAGAACACTGTATCGTCATCCGAGGACCTAGACCATTCAATGCACTGCCTGCAGATACAGTATCAGAAATACTGCAGGAACAAGTGTAGAAGCTTTCAGGAGGAAACTGGGTCACTACCTATGCCAAGTGCCAGCTCAGTCAGCTGTGATGGTTAAGTGGGTCACTGGGCTGACAAGAGCAACAACCTAATTGACCAAGCAACCACTAGAGGAGCCTTGCCCCAGGCTGAGCTGCTTGTGTAGGAAGACAGACATCACAAGAGGGGGGGGAAGTAGAAGGGAAAGTTGAGGAGAATGCTGTTAGATGGAATTAGATGAGAGGAGGTAAGTGGAGGAAAATGAGAGGAGAAATGAAGGAAGTAGGAAGAGGAAGAAGAAAGAACAGAGAAAATGAGTAGGAAGAGGAGGAATGTGGAAATAGGAAGTAGGTAAGGGAAGGAGGAGTACAGTACTATAGTAGAAGGATAGAGGTACAAGAAAGGGAAAAATAGGATAAATGGAAAAAGTTGGAGGAAGAATGGAGAGAGCACAGTACACTAGGGGCAGGATGGAAAAGTGTGTCAAGCTAAGAAACATTATTAATAGGAGCCATATTCTTTTGAAAAATTGGTTTCTTTTAAGGACCTAATACAGGATATTAACATTCTGATATCATAATGCTTAGTTCATTCATTACTGTACATGGTTTGTATTATATAGCAGCTGGTGGCAATTTATGATTGTCTTTATGTGCACTTCGTAAAAGCATTAAAATTAATTGTGGTCACTTAACCCTTTGACTGTTTCAGGCCCCTTTCTGAAACTGTCATTCTATGTCGCCAAATATTTGAAAAAAAAAATTATTTTTTCATATGAAATGATAGAGAATCTTTTCTCGATGGTAATGACACCAAAAGTTCGAAATTTGGTCGAAAACTCACAGAATTACGCTCCTGCGAAGTTAGCGGAATCGGCAACATATGTGTATCGGCGATTTCGCCGACTTTGAGCCCTGTTTTCAGCCAATTTCGTTGTTCCAGTTGACCAAACTCATAGCTATTTCTTTAGAACTCCATTTTATCTATCAGCTGAGTACAAGAAACTGCCCATTTACCAATTTGAACTACCCAATATAGTGGTCAGAAATTGGCAATTTGGCCAATTTCATGCAAATTAAAAAAGATGCCAATTTCAAAATAGGGTCCAGAATAAACAAGGTAGACATTCTTGGCACTAAAATAGCATATCTTCTGTTTATTAATCACATCTCTAGGCCCCTCTTATATTATTATTGCTTTCTATTTTGATTTTTTATTCATACAAAAAAAATACAAAATTTATTGTTATGCAGACTACTGCATTATTGTAAAAAGGTATAAATAATATCAGTGCACTAGTGAAAGAATATTAGACTCCCCAGTTGACGTGTATTGGACGTGTGGTGTGATTTGTTTACTCCTGAACATTGGTAAAAATCGAACATTTCTGCTAATTTGAGCTCAGTTTCAAGGTCGTTTTCATTGTCAAAGTAATGAAAATCATCTCTATTTCTGTAATATGTTTTCCATTTTATCACCTTAGACCATGAAAACGCGAATACATCGATAAATACTATATGAAAATACACCTCAAAGTCGGCGTTTTATTCCAAAAAAACGATCAGAGTTTTTTTTTTCTCATTACGCAATGTGTGCTGCAGGATTTTTTTTATGTGGTGCACACTGACCACACAGACCCATTCTCTCACATGTGGGCCTACCAGCTTTCTCCCGCTTGATTTGAAGCTACTAGAATTATTGAGTATATATACGTCAGAAACATTGGCTCGTAAGACGTATTTATACGTCGAAAACAGTCAAAGGGTTAATGGACCCATTGCATTTTTACAGTTCTGAAATCATAAGCTTGGGAAGCTGGAAAAAAAAAAATGCAAAGTAAAAGTCATTGGTAATTGATAAATTAAAGTTGCAGATTTTAACAATAAAAGTTTTGGCTGATAAGGGGTAATTTACATAACCACTAGTGATTTTAATAGCTTAGGCAAGCAACATTACAATGTAGAATAGCCGGTTCAAAACTTGAATATGCAAATGAATCTATAAGAAGCAAATGTTGCAATGTAGGTATTCCTGCTTAGCTCCTTTACAATACAGTACCTCTGCATTTAGCTTACATTGTTAAGTGTCAATTTAAGTTATTCACTACCTCTACCAGATAGTACAGTATACTGTATCATATGGGAAATAAGAGCCATGAACACAGTGGTCATGTTAAAGTTCTAATTTTGTAATAATAGGGCACCAATATTTGGCAATTTTTTTTTAATAGCTTTGGCATTTCTAATATTTATAGAATCATTGTACTGAGAGGAACATTACCCTTAGATATTGGTTTATATTACAGGGTTATTTTTCCCTTTTGCAGGTGGAAACTAATTAGCTGAACTGAGAGAGGTTGTCCATGGCTCCTGTTTTCCCACTAGCCAAACTTGCTTTTCTATTTGTGAAACAAGTTGCTCGGCCCCTGTCCAGCTCAATAAGACGCAAAGCTGTTAGAAGTCACTTCTTTAAAGAAAAACTGTGTCTTCCTCCTGCAAGATGTATGTAATAGTTCATCTGTAGGAATGAGAGTGGGTAGGGAACTATAACAAGTGGGTGAAAAAAGTTTATGGTATCACAGAAGTTGGAAAGAGACATACAGTATTCTTTAGAAATATTTATATTATTTGTGGGTTTAATAGTGGCCTGTGGAATAATCACTTTTAAAGATTGGAGTTATCCTGGCTCGAGGCTGTCTGGAAAGGAATGAGATTCAAATTATTTGTTGTAGAATATTGGTAATTAATTATTTGTAATTACTGTTTGCTTTGCTCATGTGGCCTCTTCTTCAATAATTTGTTTTTAAAATTTCCACTAGTTGTACCACTTACTACATCCACTTTTAGCCCTTTCTCTATGGCAGCTTTCGAAATTAAATGCTATCAGTGTCGTGATTTAAAAAAACTGTCTTTTAGAATAGTAGAGAATCTTTTTGTGAAGGTAGTGACACCAAAAATGCAAAATTTGATGGAAAACTTATGGAATTACACAGGCATGACATTAGTAATTGGCATAATTTATGCATCAATGATTTTACTCACTTTAAGGGGTTATTTTAGGCCAATTTCATTGCTCAGATCGACCAAATTCCTGGCTATTTTGCTAGTATGCCTTCCATTCTGTTGATTGAACACAAGAAACTTCCTTTTTAACTTTAGAACTAATTTAGCCAATTCTACACAAAATTTAACAAATTCTAATTTAACACTTGCACTCCATTTTAAATCTATCATCACACTGGGAATGCCTTAGTCTTAAATACTACGTGCTCACTGGAGTGGAGGAGAGAGAGAGAGAGAGAGAGAATGGAGAGAGAGAGAGAATGGAGAGAGAGAGAATGGAAAGAGAGAATGGAGAGAGAGAGAATGGAGAGAGAGAGAGAGAGAATGGAGAGAGAGAGAGAGAATGAGAGAGAGAGAGAGAGAATGGAGAGAGAGAGAGAATGGAGAGAGAGAGAGAGAATGGAGAGAGAGAGAGAGATGGAGAGAGAGAGATGGAGAGAGAGAGATGGAGAGAGAGAGATGGAGAGAGAGAGATGGAGAGAGAGAGATGGAGAGAGAGAGATGGAGAGAGAGAGATGGAGAGAGAGAGATGGAGAGAGAGAGATGGAGAGAGAGAGATGGAGAGAGAGAGATGGAGAGAGAGAGAGATGGAGAGAGAGAGAGATGGGGAGAGAGAGAGATGGGGAGAGAGACAGATGGAGAGAGAGAGATGAAGAGAGAGATGGAGAAAGAGAGAGAGAGAGATAGAGATGCATGATATTATATACCTGGAAAGTACTCGAAGGTTTGGTCCCAAATTTGCACACTGCCATAACGACATACTGGAGGGAGAGAGATGGTAGGAAGTGCAAAATAAACCCAGTGAAAAGCAGGGGTGCAGTGGGCACAATACACGAACACTATCAACATCTGGGGCCCCAGATTATTCAGCATCCTACCAAAAAATATCAGAAAACTGCTGGAACAAGTGTAGAAGCCTTCAAGAGGAAGCTGGACAAGTATCTTCACCAGGTACCAGAGAACCAGGCTGTGATGGATATGTAGGGCAATGGGCCACCAGCAGCAACAGCCTGGTTGACCAGGCTAGCACCAGACGAGCCTGGCCCATGGCCGGACTTCGGGAATAGAAAGACTCTCGAAACTCATCAAAGGTACACAAAAATCAGTTTTTTTTTTTTACCCTCTTTCTCGGCTAGTAAAATAAAACCAAGAATGCTTGCTCATCGTTTAGGCCATCCCAATAATTGGAGCAGAAACCCTTAAAACAGACTGGGAGGAGGGGAAGGGGTTCCTACTCTTCCTCAGGAAAATTGCCAAAAATTTATTTCTGTCACTTTGAGGCTTATTTCAGGCTACTTCTTGTTTGAAACCAACCAAAATGTTCTCCATTTCATTGGTATGTCTTCTTGTCTTATCAATTGGCTTCAAGAAATAGCCAATAAAATCATGAAAACCAAATAGGGAAATGCCTTCAGGTTGCTATTTGAACACAAACACAAGGTCAGAGGCTAGCTGTTACCATCATGCAATGCATGGGACAGATTTTTTTTTTTTTTATACTTTGTACACCCACCATTAACCCATTCGCACATGACCAGGCCTATACATGTATATGACCGAGGCAGGTGGACATGTTCATCTGTCAGTGTGTTTGTGAAAGTTTGTGAAAGATTATTTCTGTACCTAATACAGTCTCTCCTCACTTAACGATGGAGTTCCGTTCCTAAGAGTAGGTCAGTAAATGAATTGGTCATTAAGTGAGGAGCTTAATATACTGGTAGTGGGTTTGTGTCAACCATCTTTAGATATTGTTTTAATGTCAACTTTGCACCATTTATAGCATTTCTGGTATATTTTGAAATGTTTATACAGTAGTGTACTGTATATTGTAATAAACAGAATTGAGGAGATCAGCTCTAATACACATTACTTAGGTATGCATACTGGTCAGAGAGCTGGTCATTGAATGAGTACATCATTAAGTGAGGAGAGACTGTATTTATCAGAACAATGATCGACTATGAAATCACTAGATCTACTATAAGTTATAATTATCAGAGCATTAAAACTACGTAAATTAAAAAAAAAGAAAAAGAAAGGTATATCTGCAACATTTCTGCAAGTGGTAGGATTCCATGTTGCCATCATATAAGCATCCAGCGCCAACTTTGCGGCCTTATATTTTGGTAAGTACTGACCCTAGATTTTCTTTTTTGGTCTTGTTATACACAGAAAATTACGTTTTTTTTTTTTAAGTTGAAGTGCTAGCAGAGATGCGTTGATCAACTCCATGATTGATAAAGAGTCAAACTGTCAAAGGGTCTAAAATAGATGCCCTCAGTGTTGGCAGTTTTGAGAGGAAAAATAAAATCTTCCTGATTTTAGCCCTTTCACTGTTGGTCCCGTAATATTACAGCTTGGAAGCCAGTGTTAGTCCCGTAATACTATGCCAAAATTCTAGTGGCTTCAAATCTAGCAGGAGAAAGCTGGTAGACCCACATGTGAGAGAACTGGTTTGTGTGGTCTGTGTGTGTGTGTGTGTGTGTGTGTGTGTGTGTGTGTGTGTGTGTGCGTGCGTGCGTGTGTGTGCGTGTGTGTGAGTGCGCAGTATAAAAATCGGGGAGCCAATGGTGCATTGTTGGAGTCCCATTTTAGTAGGCCTTGTTCACTATGCCTTGTGATAAGAAATATGTACCTGACTTCCTCGGCGAATTGCGACTCTTCTCTTCCCAAGTGATAGTTCTTACACGGATGGAAGTGCCAGTGAAGATGAATTTCATGGTTTTGAGGAGTTTGTGACCGAAAGCAATGCCCAGGATACCAGAAATAGTCCCGAAAACCCAGATGACCATCATCCTAGGATAACCCAAAAAGTCAAAGTGACTTATTTCCATGTGGGTGGTAGAGAAGACAACATGCTTGGTGGGATAGACGGTATGGGTAATGGGTGGTGGTGGTTGTGTAATGCATCATGTGACACCAGCCATGCCACTGACTCAGCACATCCACAACAAAGGCCACCTGCAACTACCCACACAGCACAACAACCTTCCACAAGCTGTAGCAGTTCTAGGAACGTGTCCAGTGACTATATGTTTTTTACAAGTCAGCCCTCTCCCACCGAAGCAGGGTACCCAAAAAGAAAATCCCCAAAAAGAAAATACTTTCATCATCATTCAACACTTTCACCTCAATCACATATAATCACTGTTTTTGCAGAGGTGCTCAGAATACAACAGTTTAGAAGCATATACGTATAAAGATACACAACATATCCCTCCAAACTGCCAATATCCCAAACCCCACCTTCAAAGTGCAGGCATTGTACTTCCCATTTCCAGGACTCAAGTCTGCCTATATAAAAATAACCAGTTTCCATGAATCCCTTCACTAAATATTACCCTGCTCACACTCCAACAGCTCATCAGGTCCCAAATACCATTCGTCTCCATTCACTCCTATCTAACACTCTCACACACACTTGCTGGAAGTCCAAGCCCCTTGCCCACAAAACCTCCTTTACCCCCTCCCTCCAACCTTTTCGAGGACGACCCCTACCCCGCCTTCCTTCCCCTACAGATTTATACGCTCTCCATGTCATTCTACTTTGATCCATTCTCTCTAAATGACCACACCACCTCAACAACCCCTCTTCAGCCCTCTTGACTAATATTTTTATTAACGCCACACCTACTCCTAATTTTCACACTCTGAATTTTCTGCATAATATTTACACCACACATTACCCATAGACAAGACATATCCACTGCCCCCAACCCCCTTTCACTGCAACATTTACAACCCAAGCTTCACACCCATATAAGAATGTTGGTACTACTATACTTTCATACATTCCCTTCTTTGCCTCCATAGATAACATTTTTTTTGTCTCCACATATACCTCAGTGCACCACTCGCCTCTTTTTCTTCATCAATTTTATGATTAACCTCATCCTTCATAAATCCATCCGCTGACACATCAACTCCCAAATATCTGAAAACATTCACTTCTTCCATACTCCTCCTCCCCAATTTGATATCCAATTTTTCTTTATCTAAATCATTTGATACCCTCATTACTTTACTCTTTTCTATGTTCACTTTCAACTTTCTACCTTTACACACACTCCCAAACTCGTCCACTAATCTTCGCAATTTTTCTTTAGAATCTCCCATAAGCACGGTATCATCAGCAAAAGGTAACTGTGTCAATTCCCATTTTGTAATTGATTCCTCATAATTTAATCCCACCCCTCTCCTGAACACCATAGCATTTACTTCTTTTACAACCCCATCTATAAATATATTAAACAACCATGGTGACATTACACATCCCTGTCTAAGACCTACTTTTACCAGGAAGTAGTCTCCCTCTCTTCTACATACTCTAACCTGAGCCTCACTATCCTCATAAAAACTCTTTACAGCATTTAGTAACTTACCATCTATTCCATATACTTGCAACATCTGCCACATTGCTTCCCTATCCACTCAATCAT